GGGACCAAAGGACCAAGGGACCACATTACCAGAGGACCCGCAGACCAAAAGGCCAGGAGAGCAGCAGAAGAGGCCTATCAAGGAATATTTTTTTTGATTCGCTTTTTACTTTTTTTGTGATCCTGATTTTTTTTTTGATGCTCTTTCTTTTTTTTGATACCTATGCCGACGCGGAAGTGACCTGTGACTAATCAGATGATATATAGATTCTTTTTTTGCTACCAAGCTGCTCATGGAACTTGCCACCTGCGCACCGAAAATGTTTGTTACGCGCTGGGACTGTTTGGGGATGAAGCGATGCATCCAAAGCCTCCCAAACTGCAAGGGCTTGGAAGACATCAGAAGGCATCCGGGGGCATTGGCCTTTCCCGAGAACAACCTTAAAAACTATGATACATTAGTCATTAAGTACAAATTGCATAACGTTGGAAATTGTCATTCTCCACCTGGTAACTTGGTTGCGGCCTGCCATTCAAATCATTCAATATCTTTCAATCAAGCCAAGATTGTTGAAGTCAAAACAGCGCAAACAAATTGTACAACTCTGCTGCTTGCAAAGTTTGCATTTTGCCCCCCAATACCTGTCATCCTTCATCTTTCCAGACCCACATGACATCATGAAGAACAAAGAACAGATGCAGCATCATCATCATCATCATCGTCATCGTCATCGTCATCGTCATCATGATCATCATCATCCTTATCATCATCATCATCATCATCATCATCATCATCATCATCATCATCATCATCATCATCATCATCATCATGGATGCATGTCCCGATTGAAATATTGGTCTATTGAACCTGAGGCCCCGGCTTCTGCATCAAGCATTACATCGTAGGTTGGAGCTTTCCTGACAATCAAGGCAGTGGTTCTGGAAACAGGCAGCAACTCCCTGCGAACCTGTGGCTGTGCGTTCGCATACTACCGAAAAGGGCATATAAAGCTTGAATTGCGTTTCTCCTCCAACAGTTCTGAGTCAGAAATATGCGGATGCATGAATGAAGATAATGAAGTCCACCAATGCCAACTTTTCTCAACAACCTATTGCAAAATTGGCATGGCACAGCTGCCAAGCATCGTGCTGAACTTGGACATGTGCCACCTGGCATACCAGTTGGCCAACATCTCCGGACGTCGCATGAGTTCTTGCGAGTCCGGTATGGCCGCTTCATCTTCCAAGGCATCGCGGGGCAAAGAATCAGAAAGGTCGATCACCTCCTCCTGGAAAGCTTGGAACAAGTTGCACAAAAAATGCCTGGAAACACATGAAACTCTACACACAGAACGAACAAGAACTGCTTTCCAACAAGTGAACTGTATGTAGTATATAATATTGTTGGACCTAACGCAATCTTTTCTATGCTATATTCCTTGGCAACACTACTCACACTACTCAGCCGGATCGGTCTCAGCCGGGGCACTGGGCCACTGGCGGCTGGTGGTGGCTCACCCAGTTCCAGCTGCACACCTTCAGCGGCGTCAAGGCTTTTGAGGAACTCCTTTTCATCATCAAGCCACCTTGGATTTTGCTCAACAGATTCAGGTGGTTAATCAATACTTATATAATACTGCTTAACCATATGTTAATCAATGATGTTTAATGATTGTTTTAGTAGAACAATAATTGGTTAATCATACTTGTTCAATGTTAGTCATGTTTGATTGTAAACTAATGAATAGTTTGATGGTTAAAGCTATTCTGCTATACCTGTTGATGGTTGAAAATGTATGGTTAATTGATGAGTAATCTGTATTTATTGATGGTTGACTCGACGGTTGATGCTTGGTGATGGACCACCGAATACTGGATTAACGGTTGAGGAACATGACCAATTTTGATCCGTAAGTTGGCCAACCTTGGATATGATCTAAGGAAGAATGGATTCACAAACGAATATGTTAACCACCGGAAAATGGGTCTAGCACAGACCTATGTGGTGAAAAAAGACTGCGTTGTCACAAAAAGACTTGCCAAATACTGAATTCACCATTAAAGACATAAATGCTTACTATTTTTTCAACAGTTCACACACATAAAAAAATACTGTACCCAAACAATGCATTCACATTGGGAGCATTCAAAACACTTCAGCAAATCCGAGAAACTCAATGATGACGTCATCATCATCATCATCCTTCTGGCTTGCGGAAATGATTAGCTGCAGCAAACATGAAAAAACTAGCTGCAGGAATAAGGAACAAGTGCTTGAAGTGTAAGTTACCCACCATCAACCATCATTCAAGTGCAGGAATGCACGACTTGTAACAAAGAGAACACTCATCAAACGAGATTTCAAAATTGAAAAATGATTCTTGGGAGAACAATTGTCCGGCCAAACAAATTGAACATAATTGAACAATCCCATAAGCTCTATGTCGTTGTTCTCCACCGGCGTGGTTGCCACATGCTTCCCACCCCTCAAGGGCCTTCACTTCCCCAAGGCAGGCAGCATTCCCATCAAGGCATGCACCGCTGGCAGCTGATGAAGCCGCCGAGGGGGTGGCCTGGCATGGCCCTACTGCCAAAACACCTACGCCTCATCTGATTCTGCTGACTCTGAGTATCTGAATCTGGTTGATTCATTTGACCACCTTCCATTAAACACATCCATGAATAGGTGGTGTAAATGATTCGGTACCCGCTGTGAACCACCGTGCGGGCTGGAACCTCCTGCGTGTCGCGGCTGCGCGGCTCCAGGAGCTGCGAGAGATACTTGGGCAACAGCCGCTCCAGGTTCTCGGCGACAAGTCCTCGTCAGCCGCTGCAGGGTAGCCAAGAGAAGAAGAACGAGGTAGAAAAATATGGATGGCAAAAGAATATAAAACGTACAGCCCGGAATCATAACCATCGCGCACTTTTGAGCACGATGAAATGAAACTGAGAAATCCTAAGCACCACTCTACCTTTTTCATGCAGTTGACATTTCAGTCATGAGCACTGAGCATAACCAACCTCGAACTTTGGCTCAAGAAAACAAGGGCGGCTGCGTTTTTGCTTTTGCTGCCCGTGTAAGCTCAGGTTATGAGCCCAACCTGTTGAGCTACGCCATGGCATCCACAACGATGCGCCGAAGGCGAGCTGCGGAAGGAGCAGCTGGTGCTGCGGCTGGCGCTGGAGCAGCTGGCGAGGCGGCTGGCGCTGGAGCAGC